TGTGTGTGTGTGTGTGTGTGTGTGTGTGTGTGTGTGTGTGTGTGTGTGTGTTTGTGTGCGTGTGTGTGTTTGAGCGCGTGTGATGTATGTTTGTTTGTTTGAATGTTTATATTTTTGCGAGTTTTTATGCGTGTTTGAATAAGAGTGTGTGCTTGAACAAGTGTGTGTGCAACGGCGTACGCATGCACGCTTGTAATACATACGTATATTATGGCTGTGAATGTGTATGTCATTGTGCTTAAGAGTCTCTTAAACCCAATGACATACACATTCAAGGGTGATTTTCCAACTCACTCTTTGGACTGCGGTTTTGTCTGTTTATCGGCCTGTTTGTCTCTCTACTAACATCATCTGAGAAGAATAATTGCTACCCAGATTGTTCAAATACATTTAATTCAATCATTGAACTCTTGACATTCTTTTTTGGAATTCATCACCGTGTACAATGCTTATGGACAACAAAAACAGTAGCAAAAGTGACAACAGCAGCATCAGCAGCAGTAGAAGCAAGACCACCAGAAGCACCACGACCACCACAACAACAACATCAACAGCAACAGCAACACCAGCAACAACAGCAGCACAGAAGAACATTAGACTAATCGAGAGTCAATTTCTCTATTTTTGGTTTAAGAATAAAGAAACATGTAAAGCGGAAAAGCGGAATAAATGGAGAAGAAAAATAAAGACGGTTTTGAGGGGGAGGGAGGTGTACACCAGCAGCTTTTATTTTTATTTTATTTTGGGGGGGCGGGGGGGGGGGGGGGGGGTGAATACAATCACGGTTTTAAAATAAAAGACACCGTCAGAGGTAGAGCAATATGCACTATGCTATTGCACAATATTCTGTACGGATCATTCTAACACTGCAATTGACAAATTCCAAGCTTCTAGGCGGCTGATAAAACATGCATGAGCGTGAGTGTGGGTGTGCTCGTTTGTGTGTATACACGTAATTGTGTTCGTGTATGTGTGTGTGCGTGCGTGTGTGTGTGTGTGTGTGTGTG